TTTCTTCCCAACTCCGCCTCACCTTTGAACTTTTTACTTTCTCGATTATCTCATCCCCCCACAGTGATAACCTTTTTGTATCACTCCCCATTTCCTTTAGATTGTAAGCTCTCCGGAACAGGGCCTCCTAGCTCTTTTCTATTGAATTGTATTGTCTTGCTTTGTATTGTACAGCGATGCACCGTTTGTGCTATATAAATCCTGTATCATAATAATAATAATTATTATTCATTTGAAGAATATGTGAACCTTAGGTGAAAGGTATATAGCAATTTTATGAATTCTACATTAGCTGGATCAATACAAAGCCAGTTTCCTCGGTAAAGGAAGAGCAGTGATGGGCAGCGGCCTATTCATAAACCAAGTTACTCTTGCGCAATATGGCGCATTGGGCATTAAGTGCTTTCCATCGGATTCTGACAGTTGTGGCCAGTTCAGCCTCATGTCATGGGACCCCAATGGCTTTTGGGTCTGCTTTAAAAGGTGGACCGCCAGCTTGTCCATAGTCTTCCTTGTTTCTACTTTTTTCTAGGTGGTGGCATCCAGCATATTTTGGGTATGCGGTGATCGGGTAGCCTGCGATCGGTGACAATATTACCACTGTGTTTCAAGATTTCCTCGTTTGTGATACGGTCTCTGTATGCGATGCCCTGAACTTTCTGTAGACATCTCTGGTGAAATAATTATAGTTGCCTATATCAACCTATAATAAGGTCCACTGGTGAAATGGGTTCACCAGCCTACAGCAACCTACAGAACGAGTTCAGCAGCCTACAGCAACCTAAAGAAAGGGTTCAGCAGCCTACAGTAACCTACAGAAAGGTCCATTGGTGAAATGGGTTCAGCAGTCTACAGAAAAAAACAAAAGTGGATTGTAGTGAGCGCTCTTGTATAAACACAGCAGCTAGAACACCTAAGGCAACCACAATGCCTTTAAATGCAAAATGTAAACGAGGGTAGTATGGTGCAGCACTAAAGAAATTAAACTGAAAACAGTCAGAAGTCAGTGTAATATTATCCGTGGTTTCTTATAGAAGGGTGCAAACTTCCAAAGCTCTTGCGGCCTCAAATATTAGCAATGCACACTCACCAGAAACGCATGGGTTATGCGCATGTAGGAATAATCATTCCAGATGTCAGATCCTCCAAAATTCAGATGGCAGGCATCCCTCTCACGGTGGGTCACCGAAGACTCAAAAACCGGATCCTGAGGTCCCCTTTAAGGTCAATCAGGCACTCCACACTGGTGGTGAGACTCTCTCCTCTGAATAGTACAGGCACCTTCTCTGTGGGGGTAACAGCTCCACAAAGGAGCCCCAGAAAAAACACAGGTGCCAGAGATAGTGTAGTATGTTTAGGAAAATTTATTTGCCTCAGCATAGAATACAGGGTAGCATGCAGATCCAGACCCATAAAAGGTTAAAATTAAGGATTAGGAAGGTAGCAATACTGACCCTAGTAAAGATGTCCGCCGAGCCTCCTCGTGGCTCCGGCGGTCCGAATGACGTCACGCTCTGCACAGCTCCTCCTTAGGCCTTTCGTGCTATAAGCACATCATCAGAGGGGAGGCTGTCTGTGTTTTTTCTGGGGCTCCTTTGTGGAGCTGTTACCCCCACAGAGAAGGTGCCTGTACCATTCAGAGGAGAGAGTCTCACCACCAGTGTGGAGTGCCTGATTGACCTTAAAGGGGACCTCAGGATCCGGTTTTTGAGTCTTCGGTGACCCACCGTGAGAGGGATGCCTACCATCTGAATTTTGGAGGATCTGACATCTGGAATGATTATTCCTACATGCGCATAACCCATGCGTTTCTGGTGAGTGCGCATTGCTATTATTTGAGGCCGCAAGAGCTTTGGAAGTTTGCACCCTTCTATAAGAAACCACGGATAATATTACACTGACTTCTGACTGTTTTCAGTTTAATTTCTTTAGCGCTGCACCATACTACCCTAGTCTACAGAAAAGTCCATTGGTGAAATGGGCTCAGCAAGCTATAGAAAACTCCATTTGTGAAATGGGTTCAGCAACTTAGAGAAAAGTCCACTAGTGAAATGGGCTCAGCAACCTACAGAAAGGCCCATTGGTGAAATGGGTTCAGCAACATACAGAAAGGCCCATTGGTGAAAAAGTGGGTTCAGCAACCTACAGAAAAGTCCATTGGTGAAAGGGGTTCAGCAACCTACAGAAAAGTCCATTGGTGAAATGGGCTCAGCAACCTACAGAAAGGCCCATTGGTGAAATGGGTTCAGCAACCTACAGAAAAGTCCATTGGTGAAATGGGCTCAGCAACCTACAGAAAGGCCCATTGGTGAAATGGGTTCAGCAACCTACAGAAAGGCCCATTGGTGAAATGGGCTCAGCAGCCTACAGAAAAGTCCAGTGGTGAAATGGGTTCAACAGCCTATAACAACCTACAGAAAAGTTCATTGGTGAAATGGGTTCAGCAGCCTATAGCAGCCTCTAGAAAGGTCCATAGGTGCAGGAGAAACTCTGATTTGAAGTTTCTGCACTTTTATGATGCCACTGCTTGTGTCTTGCCTGAGTATCGGTATATTTGCCCCATTTATGGTCATGATTCCCAGGGTGTTACTCACCTTTGATGCCCACCTGCTGTCACATGTTGCCATTTTGCCCATGGTAATCCCATTTTCATGTTGTTGAATTGTCTGTGTGATTGCGTTGTCTAGGTGAGTGAGGGACCATAGAACTACAACATCTACAAGCGGAACTAAACCCATCAATTTAACAGTTCCAAATAATCAGTTACATTCCCAGGAATGCCAACTATCATATTTGCTTGGGCTCTCAACCAAACTGGTCGGTGTCATAATTGATCGCACGTGCAGCACCATGGCAGTTGCAGAGCAAACAGAGGCCAAGATGGCTGCCTCCTTGGCTGAATAGGATAAGGGAGGTTTAGTTTCACTTTCAACTCAGACCTAAGAATATCAAACCATACCCCCCCCCCATGCTTGACTTTCTGAGCCAAGATTAGCTCTTCCTCAGCCTGCACTCTCAGCGTGAGTTGCCGGACCTGTACAGGTAGAAGCCTGGAGTTGCACCCTTAATGTTTGGTGGTGTGGTTTATAGTGGCATAGTATACCAATGGCCCTATCTGACCCTTCTCCTTGAAAATCTGAGGCTTGCAGAGTTAAGCAAAGTCCCCTGGTACATATACACTATATTGCCCGTAGTATTGGGCCGCCGGCCTTTCCACGCACATGAACTTTAATGGCCTCCCAGTCTTAGTCTGTAGGGTTCAATATTGCGTTGGCCCCGCCCTTTGCAGCTATAACAGCTTCAACTCTTCTGGGAAGGCCGTCCACAAGGTTTAGGAGGGTGTCTAGGGGAAGGTTGGACCATTCTTCCAGAAGCACATTTGTCAGGTCAGGCACTGATGTCGGGGGAGGAGGCCTGGCTCGCAGTCTCCGCTCTAATTCATCCCAAAGGTGTTCTATGGGGTTGAGGTCAGGACTCTGTGCAGGACAGTCAAGTTCCTCCACCCCAAACTGGCTCCTTCATGTCTTTATGGACCTTGCTTTGTGAACTGGTGGGCAGTCATGTTGGGACAGGAAGGGGCCATCCCCAAACTCTTCCCACAAAGTTGGGATCATGAAATTATCAAAAATGTCGCCTTAAGAGTTCCCTTCACTTGAACTAGGGGGCCAACCCCTGAAAAACAACCCCACACCATAATCCCCCCTCCACCAAACTTTACACTTGGCACAATGCAATCAGGCAAGTACCGTTCTCCTAGCAACCGCCAAACCCAGACATGTCCATCGGATTGCCAGACAGGGAAGTGTGATTGGTCCCTCCAGAGAACACCCCCCCCCACTGCTCTAGAGTCCAGTGGCGGCATGCTTTACACTACGGCATTCGACGCTTTGCATTGCACTTGGTGATGGAAGGCTTGGATGCAGCTGCTCGGCCAAGGAAACCCATTCCATGAAGCTCTCTACACACTGTTGTTGATCTCATCTGAAGGCCACACCAAGTTTGGAGGTCTTTAGCTATTGACTCTGCAGACAGTTGGTGACTTCTGCGCACTGTGCGCTTCAGCATGCGCTGACCCCGCTCTGTGTCATGTGACGTGGCCTACCACTTGGTGGCTGAGTGGCTGTTGTTCCCAGTTGCTTCCACTTTGTTATAATCCCACTAACAGTTGAGCGTAGAATATTTAGTAGCCAGGAAATGTCATGGATGGACTTATTGCACAGGTGGCCACCTATCACGGGACCACGCTTGGAGTCACTGAGCTCCTGAGAGCGACCCATTCTTTCACCAATGTTTGTAGAAGCTGTCCGCATGCCTAGGGGCTTGATTGTATACACCTGTGTCCATGGAGGGGATTGGAACACCTGAATCACATGATATGGAGGAGATTGGAGCACCTGAATCACATGATATGGAGGGGATTGGAGCACCTGAATCACATGATATGGATGGGATTGGAACACCTGAATCACATGATATGGAGGGGATTGGAGCACCTGAATCACGGTATGGAGGGTATTGGAACACCTGAATCACATGATATGGAGGGGATTGGAGCACCTAAATCACATGATATGGAGGGCAGGGCAATACTTTTGGCAATATAGTGTGTATATCTCTTCAGTTCCCAGGTCTGCATTCCTGGCACGGGAGATTCTGGATTGAACCTCTGCACACGGCTATACACACTTACATACTTCTGTCAATCTATGTTTCTACATGCCCAGTACAAGGGGCTCCCACTCTCCCTGCTATTTTTTTCTATAGTATGAAAACCCCAAAACGAAGTATGAGAACAGCCCAATGTGGGCAGTAAGGCAGCTAAGTCAGGTCAGTAGAAGGCAGTAATAAGTAAAACATTTCCCACACTCTGAACATTAAAAATGGCTTTCTTTGACAAGGCTACCTTTCAGGTGAAATTTTTCCTATGGTCCGAAACAGGCGCTAGCCCGTGTGAACACGCTGGTGTTTAACAAGGTCTCCTCTTTGAATGAAACCTTTCCCACACTCTGAACACCTAAAAGGCCGCTCGCCAGTGTGAATTCTCTGGTGTTTAATAAGGCTTGCTTTCTCACTGAAACATTTCCCGCACTCCGAACATGAATAAGGGCGCTCACCTGTGTGACTTCCCTGATGTCTAAGAAGGCTTCCCTTTTCAACGAAACACTTCCCGCACTCTGAACATGGATAGGGGCGCTCACCTGTGTGAATCCTCTGATGTCTAACAAGCCCGTCTTTCACGTTGAAACATTTCCCGCATACTAAACAGGAATAAGGACGCACACCAGTATGAATTCTCTGGTGTGTCAGAAGTGATTTTTTCACAGCGAAACATTTTCCACACTCTGAACATGAATAAGGAAGCTCGCCCGTGTGAATTCTCTGGTGCAAAAGGAATGTTGTTTTCTCAGTCAAACATTTCCCACACACTGAGCATATATAAGGACGCTCACCTGTGTGAATCCTCTGGTGTCTAACAAGTCCATATTTCACAATGAAACTTTTCCCGCATTCCGAACACGAATAGGGACGCTCACCAGTGTGACTCCTCTGGTGCTTAAGAAAGTTTCCTTTCTGAATAAAACTTTTTTCCCGCACTCTGAACATGAATAAGGACGCTCACCCGTGTGAATTCTTTGGTGTTTTTGAAGCAACTGTTTCTCAGTGAAACACTTCCCACACTCTGAACATAAATAGGGGCGTTCACCTGTGTGAATTCTTTGGTGCGTAAGAAGTTTTCCTTTTTCGAAGAATCTTTTCCCGCACTCCGAACATGAATGAGGACGCTCGCCTGTGTGAATTCTCTGGTGTCTGTAAAGTGTGCTGGGCTCGGCGAATGATTTCCCACACACTGAACAGGACAAGGAACTGTCTCCTGAGTGCATTCCTTTATGGCTCAGAGAAGATTTCTTGGAATTTGATTGTCCTTTTGATCTGTGAGATGTTTTAGAGATATCTGAAGAAACAATATGTGATTGGTTAGATGATTCTCGAGGATTGGAGGGATCCATTGATCCCTCCGATTGGGAAGGTCTTTGATGTATAGTTAGAGTATTAGGATTTTTTCCAGAAGAATATTTAGTGTTTCCATCATAATCTGGAGATCCAGTAGGATGTCCCTCAGAGATGTTCCAGACATAGCGTCCATCTGTTGGAAAACAATGTTTAAATACCATCAAAATGTTGAGAATTCTTCAACAGTTTGTCAGAGTTCTTCCATGAATTGGGTGCAGTCAGAAAAATGTGAATATAAACCAGATAAAGGGTACAATCAATCAAAAGCATTCAAGAGTATTTGTGCATTGAACGTGATCACTGTGAGAATGGAGATGGACCTTCCTCCACCTCATTTCTTGGAAGAGTGACAACAACCTGAAGAATGGAGATGGCCCTTCTTCCACCTCATTTCTCGGAAGAGTGACAACAACCTGAAGAATGGAGATGTGACTCTTCCAAGAAATAAGGTGGAAGAAGGTCCATCTCCATTCTTCAGGTAGTTGTCACTCTTCCAAGAAATGAGGTGGAGGAAGGTCCAACAACCTGAAGAATGGAGATGGACCTTCTTACACCTTATTTCTTGGAAGAGTCACAACAACCTGAAGAATGGAGATGGACCTTCTTCCACCTTATTTCTTGCAAGAGTCACAACAACCTGAAGAATGAAAATGGACCTTCCAACACCTCATATCTTGGAAGAGTGACAACAACCCGAAGAATGGAGATGGACCTTCTTCCACTTTATTTCTTGGAAGAGTCACAACAACCTGAAGGATGGAGATGGACCTTCCTCCAAATCATTTCTTGGAAACATGACAAGATGAAGAAAAGAGGTGGACCTTTCATAGGGTGTACAGCAGTGAGAGTGGGGGCAGACAAGGGGGGGACAGGCATGTCTATTGACATCACAAATAGTCCCACATGCTATTTAGAGGAACACTTGGAATACATATGTTGAATTCATAAAAGTAAAATGAAAATGTGAATCATTTCGCCATTTAGAGTTTATGACTTACCTGTGTCTATATGTACTGAAGATTCCTCCGGTTTACTTTCCATAGTCCTCTCCCCCTCCTCCATAGATTGCCGATCTCCACTCACCAACGTCTCTTCTTCTTCCTCTTTAACCTCAACTTTGATGTCTTTCAGTTCTTCACCCTAAAGCCCCAAAGATGAGAGAAAAGATTTGTAGAAAGGAGCATACTGTGGAAGAACGTAATCTCAAATTATAAAATAGTTTTGGAGTCGTTGTTGGAGGTCTTTGGCTTAGTCCCATCTACCTCATCATGGTGTCTGGAATCCAGGGAACACAGATGACCACCCTCTTCCACAGACCGCTGATCTTCCATTGCTGATGACTTTTCTTTTTCATCTTTAACCTCAATTTTGACATCTTTCAGTTCTTCACCCTAAACCCCAAAAGTTATAGAATGAAATAATATAGAGGATTGTCATCTCATTGCTTAGGATACATTTTCAGGTCTACATGCTCAGCTCCATCTACCTGATGATGGTGGGGGATGGTGTGACCTTCCTGTGTGGAATCCCGGGAATACAGAGGACGAGGACATCTCTCTGGTGGGTTCCCATTACTGGATCCATCTGTAGGAAACACACACACTGACTGAATCCATTGTTTCTATGTGTTTATCAGATGATGGGGGATCTAGGTGGAGCCTCCGTACTGCTCTCTCCTTTACAATAAAGTCTCCTCTTACCCGGTGATGTGAGGGGCGGCTGATTGTCCATCATGACGTCCTTGTAGAGGTCCTTGTGTCCTTCTAAATACTCCCACTCCTCCATGGAGAAATAGACAGTGACATCCTGACACCTTATAGTAACCTGACACACACAATGATACAGTCACCATCCAGACACATCCCTTGTCTGTTACTGGAGAATGTCCCAGAATTCCCGGCACCGCTCACCTCTCCTGTCAGCAGCTCATCGAGCCTTTCTTGATGACCTCTAGAATCTTGTCCTGTGAAGGTAGCAGCGTGGTGTGAGCTTGCCCACACCCGTCACAAAGCCAGCGATCCTCCACTAACATACTGTGAGGTGCAGAATTGTAGCATCACTTCCATCAAATCACAAAACTCAGGAGAGTTATCTTTTGTATTTACTGTAGAACCTGGTCTATAAACCAGAGGCTCTGGATGGACGGTTGGATAAATGGTTCTATATTTAGGACGTATCCAGTCTATAAACCAGAGGCTCTGGATGGACGGTTGGATAAATGGTTCTATATTTAGGATGTATCCGGTCTATAAACCAGAGGCTCTGGATGGACGGTTGGATAAATGGCTCTATATTTAGGACGTATCCGGTCTATAAACCAGAGGCTCTGGATGGATGGTTGGATAAATGGTTCTATATTTAGGATGTATCCGGTCTATAAACCAGAGGCTCTGGATGGACGGTTGGATAAATGGCTCTATATTTAGGACGTATCCGGTCTATAAACCAGAGGCTCTGGATGGACGGTTGGATAAATGGCTCTATATTTAGGACGTATCCGGTCTATAAACCAGAGGCTCTGGATGGACGGTTGGATAAATGGTTGTATATTTAGGACGTATCCGGTCTATAAACCAGAGGCTCTGGATGGACGGTTGGATAAATGGTTCTATATTTAGGACGTATCCGGTCTATAAACCAGAGGCTCTGGATGGACGGTTGGATAAATGATTATATATTTAGGACGTATCCGGTCTATAAACCAGAGGCTCTGGATGGACGGTTGGATAAATGGTTGTATATTTAGGACGTATCCGGTCTATAAACCAGAGGCTCTGGATGGACGGTTGGATAAATGGTTCTATATTTAGGACGTATCCGGTCTATAAACCAGAGGCTCTGGATGGACGGTTGGATAAATGGTTCTATATTTAGGACGTATCCGGTCTATAAACCAGAGGCTCTGGATGGACGGTTGGATAAATGGTTCTATATTTAGGACGTATCCGGTCTATAAACCAGAGGCTCTGGATGGACGGTTGGATAAATGGCTCTATATTTAGGACGTATCCGGTCTGTAAACCATAAAAGATGTCACAGTGACTATGGAGGAAGAAGACAGACACGACAATGGAAGAGGAAGGACATGATGATGGAAGAAGAGGATGGACATGACGGGGGGGTTACTGGTGTAAATATAAAATAAGATCTTATTACCTCCTCTGCTGCCAGTTCCAGCAATGTCTCCTCTATACTTCCTCCGGACTTACCTCTCACCCGGAACTTCCTTTCTGCGTCTTCACTTCCTATTTATAAGGGACATCACTTCCTGTCTGTATGTTTCAAGGACAATAAGTGAGAACACCATCTTGTGGAGGATACAAAAACATCATCCTTTTTTTTTTTTTAAATTACTTTAAAAACTGTTTGTTAGAACTTTCTTAAAATTCTTTGTATATATTATATGGTCAAAACCCAAAAGAATGAAGTTATAGAATGAAAATAACAGATTATTATATTTAAATAAAAGATACATGAAATTATTATTATTATTATATCCAAGGACTTAACCACACCCCCCAAACAAATGTAAAGCCCCCACGTACACGCACATACAGTATAAATGTAAACATATGCATCCAGGAGCCTAACGTCCATGATGTCTATACCTGTTCGGTATCATCTCACACGTTGAAATGAAAGCAGTAATTTTAGGGCCATTATTTGTGGATGAATATAAATGGATGGCCTCTAAAGGCTTTTAAACCATGAAAAAACTACTGTAACAAAGTTTGAGGACATCTCACCAGCGTTCAGTTCTAAGATTCAACGTATTTGGCATCTAGCATCTTGGCACAACCTCAAAATTTATGTGTGCCCTCAAATTTCCTTGAGTGCATTGTTTATGTAAAATATGGGTTTGATAAACCGCGGAACTCATAAAGAAATCTTATATTTGTGTAGCCCTTTTCCGTGGACCCTGGGAGCTACACAACCTTGGCATCATCAGGATGTTTCATGGCCCTGCTGGTCTGTTCCCTGACGATTATGGTCAGGCCAGAAAGGGAAAGTATGTGACTGGCCACAAGGTCCCCCCACAGCGATAGAAGGACAGAGGCATGCCAAGGGAGGAATGAAGAGGGTGTGAATATGCTGCTGAGGGGTGATAGACCCACTAGACAGCAGGGAAAGTGAGAGTGCAAGGTCACTCAATTCCCCATGGCCTCCCTGTGTGGGACCTGTTGCACAGAAAACCCATGGGAAAGGAAGGATTCAAGAAGAATCTTCCCGCAGCATTGTGACCTAATCTTCATCTGGACCACAGTAAAGTTTTTCAGAGGACAGGTGCACTATTGATGGAGGTCAGTTGACTTCTTGCAGAGAAGCTCCATTGGAGAGGAGCGATTCAGGAGGAAATCTACGAGCAGCATTGTTGCCTAATCTTCATCTGCCTCCACCTGGGTCCCAGTAAAGTTTTTCAGAGGACAGGTGGACCATTGATGGAGGTCAGTTGACTTCTTGCAGAGAAGCTCCATGGGAGAGGAGCAATTAAGGAGGAAATCTACGAGCAGCATTGTTGCCTAACCTTCATCTGCCTCCATCTGGGTCCCAGTAAAGCTTTTCAGAGGACAGGTGGACCATTAATGGAGGTCAATTGACTTTTTGCAAAGAAGACCAATGAGAGAGGAAGGATTCTGTAAGAATCTGCTAGCAGCATTGTGGCCTAACCTTCATCTGCCTCCATCAGGGCCCCAGTTAGGGTTGCCACCTCATCCCTTTAAAACCGAACACATATTGATTACACAGGTTCTGTGGCTGATTAAGAAGATAATTAAACTCACTGAGTGCCTTCTGTGCAATAAATTAGCCTCAGAACCTGTGTATTTAATATTTGT